CAGGAGTTTGAAAACGTTTTCTGTGAAGTAACGTAAATATTTGAGGTTTTACACGTGAAGAGGCAAATACTGAATATTTGGTAGGTACTTCTACAAAAAGAGAGAAAACACATTTCCACAATTTTCATTGATGAAATTAAGAATGTAATGATTACTTTTTTTTGTAATACATATCTTCTAAGGAGAAGAATAAAAGTTTTTTTTTTTCTTTCTTGGAATACTATTTGACTTAATTGGGGCTCAGAGTTTGTGTGCCAAATTGATTGTACATGTTCATTTATAAAAATTATTCTTAGCTCAATGACTGTACAAAAACAGCAGGTGGGATGGATTTGGATGGTATGAGGGCTGTGGTTTTATCAACTCCTGCTGGAGAGTGCGGTTCTCTTCATTTGATGACTACATCAGCAGTTTCCACTTCACCTGGGGACTTGTTGTGAGTAAGAATTCTTCAGAAACACTGGAATCAGAAATGCTAGGCAATGGGGCCTAGCCATCTGTCCTATTAAAAGCCCTGCTGATGATTTTGAGAGTGCTAAAGTTTGAAAACTGCTCTTAAATATCTATGCCTCTATCTATTGTATCTATTTATATATACACAGGTTTACTTATTTGTTTGTTTTGGGGAATTCTGATCCTAACTGTGCATGGTGATTCTACAGACAACCTTTCCCACACTTCCCACATGTAAGTTCTTAATTTAAGGGAAAAATCATATTATACTTCCCCTTCATCCACCCTTGAAATAACATCTAAAATTGCTAACTGCCATAAGAAACTTAACGACTTTCCTATTTACAGAAGGCTCTGGACTCCAAAGACATTGAATTGGCAATGGATTTATTTAAATATTATTCATGTTGCTCAAGTACACTGAGTGGTGAGGGAGACAAAGCTATTCTCACAAGAAAAAGACAGTATTTGCCTTTTTTCACTGATAGGCATACAATGAGTTTTACCAAGGCTGAAGATATGTAACGACATCCTCACTCCCATGACTAATGGAATAGTAGAGTGTATTCTTGTGTTATCTAGACCTTTCTTACATGGTAGGACTAGGGTGTATACATCTGTGCATTTTAGAGACTTTCTCAGTACTTCTGTGCTCTTAAGATACTTTTTTTCCATTTTACCTGCTATAATCTCTATAACTTTATAATCATTCATTAAATAGTTTTGAAATCCCAAAGTTTTCCTTATACCTATGCAAAAACACAATCAATAAGCACACTTTGTTAACTTGTTTTGCAATCACATTTAAATCTTTTTTCTTACTTTTAACTTCTAATGTGCTAAATACTGATAGATAAAGTCCACAAAAATAAAAGCTCTTTGGGGCATTAATAATTTTCTGTAGTAAAATGGAGTCCCTTAACTAAAAAAAATGAGAATCACTGCCTTAGAATATAATGCTATCTCCTAAGGAGATTGTATTTCTTGATTAATTTTCTAGATCCAGCAGGCAATAATAATAAATGGAAATTATAATCAGTAATAATAGTGATAGTAATTTTTGAGGCCAGGCACCTGGTTAGATGCTATATATATATATTGTTACAGATGGGGAAACTGAGGTTAAAAAGGGTAATTAAGCCACTATCATAGCAACTAAGTAATAAAGGCTGATTCAGACCCTGTCTGACACTAAAGCCCTTATCCTTCCTAGAAAATGATAGTTCCTGTGAAGAATGTTGTCTGCATTGCACATCTTTGGAACTTTACAAGATTTTTATAAAATTATTTCCTTCCGTCCTTACAATCTCTTATGAGTTAGTCAAAGCCCCTGGGAGATGTGTCCAAATGCACTGTTCTTGTACTATGTGGTATTGTTGCTTTCTGCATATTCGTACTAAAACAGTGAAACTGAGGAAATAACATCAATGCACTGGGCTATTGTCTGCTTTTATCACACCATAGGTAAGAAAAATTATTACTTTAGAGCAGGAGTTTGAAAACGTTTTCTGTGAAGTAACGTAAATATTTGAGGTTTTACACGTGAAGAGGCAAATACTGAATATTTGGTAGGTACTTCTACAAAAAGAGAGAAAACACATTTCCACAATTTTCATTGATGAAATTAAGAATGTAATGATTACTTTTTTTTGTAATACATATCTTCTAAGGAGAAGAATAAAAGTTTTTTTTTTTCTTTCTTGGAATACTATTTGACTTAATTGGGGCTCAGAGTTTGTGTGCCAAATTGATTGTACATGTTCATTTATAAAAATTATTCTTAGCTCAATGACTGTACAAAAACAGCAGGTGGGATGGATTTGGATGGTATGAGGGCTGTGGTTTTATCAACTCCTGCTGGAGAGTGCGGTTCTCTTCATTTGATGACTACATCAGCAGTTTCCACTTCACCTGGGGACTTGTTGTGAGTAAGAATTCTTCAGAAACACTGGAATCAGAAATGCTAGGCAATGGGGCCTAGCCATCTGTCCTATTAAAAGCCCTGCTGATGATTTTGAGAGTGCTAAAGTTTGAAAACTGCTCTTAAATATCTATGCCTCTATCTATTGTATCTATTTATATATACACAGGTTTACTTATTTGTTTGTTTTGGGGAATTCTGATCCTAACTGTGCATGGTGATTCTACAGACAACCTTTCCCACACTTCCCACATGTAAGTTCTTAATTTAAGGGAAAAATCATATTATACTTCCCCTTCATCCACCCTTGAAATAACATCTAAAATTGCTAACTGCCATAAGAAACTTAACGACTTTCCTATTTACAGAAGGCTCTGGACTCCAAAGACATTGAATTGGCAATGGATTTATTTAAATATTATTCATGTTGCTCAAGTACACTGAGTGGTGAGGGAGAAGGAGAGGGAGAGGAGTAATACTGAAAAAGTTTTCTCAAGCCTCGGCCACTCCTAGATGTCTTGATCAAGACCCCAGGAGGCAATACGTTCAAAAGGATGAAGTAATTCAATCTCCTCCACCACCCTGATTAGCAAACTGAAAACCGAAAATGAAGTTTCATATCGCATCGCTTGCCAAGATAGAAATAAAACCTGTTAAGACAAGTTATCAAAGCGATACATCTGGCTGACATGTACTTACACATCTGTGTCTCCCAACAGCCTCTAGGCCTCTACAGCCAACCGCTCAGGTGGCGGCACCAGAAACAGCATCCATCACTCCTCAGAGTTCACGCACAAGTTTTTAAAAACTAAATTTTTGCTTTTAGTCACTCACTGCTGCAAATCAGTCCGGCAGGACTGGGAGAACTCCCAAATGCCACTGGTGGCCCATTTCTCATGACACTAAAATCTTGGACAGGTCTAACTAAATAAAACATTACCTAGCTGTTGGGAAGGAGGAACCAAATTCTGCTCGTCAAAATTCTGAAGCGCAAAAATAATCCTGAGAGAAGGAGGGAAGCAGAGAGGAGGGGATACTGCCGGCCAAGGCTAAGGAGACACTATCCGGCTCTCTTTCCCTTCCTTTCTCTAACTTTCCCTCTTCTCACTCAACAAATTCGGTTTTATCTCTGCAGGGCTGTGAGGGGAACCCGATCTGGGCAGCCCAGCAACCCGCCCTCCTGGCCCAGGGCACAGCATCTCGCGCACGGCGCCCCAACCCCGACCTTTCCTCCGGGCACCTGCGGCCGGACGCGCTCCAGTCCCCTGTACCCGAGCGCAGAGCGACTCACGATTAAAGGCAGGGAGCACATGGTGAAGAGCCCGGTCATGAGGGCCAGCAGCAGGAGGTGATCCAGCTCCTCCAGGGGCTGCGGGGAGGCCTCCCTCTCGCCGGCGCCCGGCTCCGCGCGCTCTCTGGGGCCGAAGCGCGGGATCCGCTGCAGCCGCCGGTGCATCGCGTAGAGGTTGCGCATGGCGCTCAGGTTGCACAGCACGATGGCGAGGACCAGCAGCGCCATGAGGCTGGCGTAGAGCACTGAGAAGCCCAGCACTGACAGCGAGCGCTCCTTGTGGGTCATTTGGATGAAGCACCAGGTGCCGGGGCAGTACTGCACGAAATTCCCGAAGCCCGCGAAGGGCAAGGCGCAGAAAGCCAGGCAGAAGGCGCCCACGACAGGCGCCACCAGCGCGCCCCGGCGCACCGTGACGTGCCGTCGGTAGAAGAAGGGATGCCCCAACGACAGCCAGCACTCCAGAGCCATGGCCAGGAGCTGCAGCGTCGAAGCGAGCCCGAAGAAGGACATGAAGAAGGCGAAGGCTTGGCACAGCGAGCGGCCCGACGCGGGTACCAGCCCCGACAGGCTCCGGTTCTGCGCGTAGGCGGCTAGCACGAAGGGGCTCACCAGCGACTTGCCCACCAAGTCGGTGACCGTCAGGCCGCACACCAGCACGTAAAAGACCGAGGGCGGCTGGCGCGGTGGGCACGACCCCAGCCCCGAGCGCGCCAGCAGCGCCAGGGCCATCAGGTTGCCCAGGAGGCCCGCACTGAAGAGCAGCCCGCTCATCGTCGCGGAGTTGCCCTTCTCCACAGAGGTGGCGTTGTGGCAGCGGTAGAACGACGGCCTCATGGCTGGCGGCGCGGCAGGAGGGAGTGCAGACCGCGGGAGCGCCAGGGCCCCGCGTCGGGGTGCGGTGGAGGCCCCGGCGGCAGGCTGCGCGGCAGAGGCAGCTCCGTGGGCGGCCGGGTGCTCGCCTCGGCGGGCGCCTCCTCCCTAAACTCTCGGGACACACCCCGCCCCCGGGGCGGGACGCGAGGCCGGGGCACCCCGGCGCTGGCCCTGCAGAGCTCTGCCCTGAGGAGACACAGACCCTCGTGCTCAGAGGCGGAAGAAAGAAGGCAAGTAGCCAGAGTCCTAGAGTCTAAAGCCAGTCCTCCTGTGAGGGGAGAACTGGAATGAAGGGGAATCAGGCAGCAGCCACTAGGGAGGAGAGGGGTGTGAGGAGGAGGTGGAACTGGGTGGCGAAGAACCCTGAAGAGAAGCTCAGAAACCGGGCTGCTATTTGTTTTTTAATTAGTGGGTTAAGGAAGGGTTAAACGCAGCTAAATCTGCATAGCACTTTACACCTTCTCTTCTAGATCCTGCAAAAGGAACAATGACCTTCACTGCATAGGTGAGGAAAATGAGACCTTTGAGATCATCTGTGTTTCCATGGCTCCTAAGAGGTTGGCTAGATTTCAGGGAAGAGGTTCCAGGGAAAACCAAGGGGGAGATTTTTGCCCCAGGTACCATGAATCACAGTGGTTGTGTGGACATGGTGGAAGGAGTATTACCAACTGATGATGTTATCAGATACACTGGGTTCACGTCCTGGTTCTGCGCTCACTGCCTGTGTGACCCTGAGGAACTTGCTTAACTTTTCAAGAAGTAATATCTAGCCAGCTCCCTGGCTTCTTTTGAGTCATAGGGACAACATGTAAAGTGCAGGCACATAGACGTGTCAGTACATTACAGCTGTCAGGATTAGCTGAAGTTTTTGGCCTGGATTTTGAAACCAGAAAATAGTAGACTTGGTTTAGAGCTTTTTCACTGTGAATTTTGACTACTAGAAAACATTTCTTTTCCTCTGGTCTTTGACTTGGCTGCATCACAGAGGCAAGAGAGCTAATTGTGATTTATTTCTTTAATTAACACTTAATAATCTTGGGAGAGAAACTTGCTTTGAGAGTAGAATTTAAGTGGGTGGCTGGAGCCATGTTACGTGAGCAAGCAAGAATATGCCTTGGACGGGAGAAGCTCATTTTTAGGCTAAGTCTCTCTTCTGACAGACAGACTCAGGGAAAGAGCAATTCCCTTGAGCTTTAGAAGTTAAAACCTTCGGGATAGCCAGAGAAGCTGCCTCCAGACTGAATGCCTGGTCAGGAATTCAGGCCACGGTGTGGAGATGAAGAGTCCAGGCTTTGAAATTGAATAGTTCTGAACTCTACCACTAAACTGCTAATCTAGTTTTGCTGACCTCATAGGGTTATCATGAAGTTAAGAAAACATAAAATGCATGGCATAGACTAATAATAATAATAATAATAATAATAATAATAGCTAACACTTACAGGCCCTTATATATGCTGGGCATGCTCTAATCCTCTCACATCTGTTGACTCAATCAACAGAAGGACTTCCACAAAGTGAGTTCCTTATTTTCCACCTGCTCTCTCTTGTCTCCACCTCCAGCCTCTAATGAATAATGATGTGTTTAGAAGAGACCTATTTGAGCTGATAAAGTGGGAGAGGGAGCAGGCCCTATAACCGAAAGACTTAACAATCAGGTGAAGTAAATTGGAGGTCGCCTCTCCAGACAGACACACATAGATACACAAGAACACACATTCACAATTTGCACCAGTTATATATAGGCTGTTCACAGTTTTCTGCAGTCCCACTATGGTGCCCTGACGAGGGCCAATGGCCGATTCTCCTCTAAGGACATTGTGCAGTGTTCTTTGAAGCCAACCTGCACCAATCCTTTTCAGTTTTTTCTATTACAGCTGCCTCCACATTCAAGTATTCAAGAACAGTGCTCAGGGGAGAGCAGCCCAGAAATGTAAACAACTTCTTAGAACTAACTCCCAAGTGTCACTGAAGGGAGATCTGTGGATCCCTGACAAGGTTTATATATGTCATACTTCAAAGGTTGAACAGGTACAATTCAGGAAACCACGTGTTTCCTCCTGGCTAATGCAGCTGGCCTTCACCATGGGGTTTCCGGCTGCTTTCCTGCCTGCTTTGCTCTTGTTCACCCTGCCCTGTTCTCAGGCTTAAGGTTGGAGTCTTCTGTCCCTCCTTCAAAGAAATCTTATTTCACACCTTCGCCTTTCAGCCAAAAAAGTATCATTTATTCACACATCAAGTATTCTTTTAGTTCTTTGTGCCAGGCATGGGGGTGAGGTGTGTGGGCACTGTGGAGTATATGGCAAATAAGGGAAGACAAATGTCAAGTCATGGGACTTTTACATTGTTATAAATTTGTGTATCAGTTCTCATAGTGACAAAGCTAAGCTTTTTTTCCCCTAAGAGGGAAACTTTGAATGAAAGTATCCTGGGCCCAGTAACACAGTAAATTATCTTTATCTACAGAGCTCTGCTAGGCTGCTTCACTGGGTCCTCAGACAGATCATCTGCAAACAGTATGTATGGCATAATGTGAATGAATTCGTATAATCACCTTATGATTTCATAAATGTAAAAATCATATATGCTTATGGGCAAGACATAGAAGTTGACATAAGCAAATGAAACATGGACTTAAGTGATGGTAGAAAAATTTCTCTTTGGGCTTCTGTTATTTTCAATATTGTATGTGTAATAATTATTTTAAAAGATTTTAAACAGAAAGCAAGGGTATGCTCATGGTCAGGTTTTAGGGAGGGTGGAAAGAAGGAAAAGCCATAGATTTTCTTGGATCCATCCCAACTGTGCCTTTAAATCTTATCCATCCCTCATTCCTACTGAACTCCGAAGCAGTATTTTGATCTGGGGATTGTGAAGAGCAGAGAATGTAGAGAAGAAAACCTTAACAGCAAAGAACAGAATTAGCTACCAGTTTTGGAGCATCTTCTCTCTGCTAGAGGCCAAGCTAGATGCTTCTTCACATTTAGTAGGTGAGGTGGTAGCTCAATAGTATGGAGGTGAAGGTCTTATTTTATTTTATTTTTTATTAAGGTATCAGTGATAAACACTTTTATGAAGGTTTCACATAAAAAACATTGTGGTTTCAACATTCTTCCATATTTTCTAGTCCCCCATACATACCCCATTGCAGTCACTGTCCATCAGCATAGTAAGATGCCAGAGTCATTACTTGTCTTCTCTGTGCTTCACTGTCTTCCCCGTGACCCCCCCCCACACACCATGTGTGCCAGTCCTAATGTCCTTCAATCCCCTTCTCCCTCTGTCTCCACCCACCCTCCCCCACCCCTTCCCTTTGGTAACTGCTAGTCCCTTCTTGGAGTCTGTGAGTCTGCTGCTGAATCTTCTAACTTTTCTAAACCTTAACTTCCTTATCTGTAAAAATGTGTGTGTGTGTGTGTGTGTGTGTGTGTGTGTGTGTGTGTGTGTGTGTGTGTGTGTGTAGGACAACACAGATAATTGTACTGAACTGATGATGTAGTTCCATGGCTTAAATAAAATAATCTGCATAGAGCAGTAATTCTCAACCTTGGCTGTACTCCAGAGTCCTGGAGAGCTTTATTCGTTTCTGATTCTTCAGAATCCCAAACCAATTATATCAGACTACCTGGGGGTACCCCCCTTCTGTATATTTGAAGCCACGCAGTTACTTCCACTGTACAGGTAGGATGAGAACCACTGAGCTAGAATGTTAAGTAGAGGGTTGGGTCATGTCTGTATGGCTCTGTCAAAGGTGTTCACTGTTTTTTATTCCTGCCAACTGCACCAGTGAAGTTTTCTTTCTTTCCCTAGATAAGGAAAATGAGACTCAGGTTAATAACTTCTCCAAGTTCACATAACAAGTAAGTGATGAGGATAGAATGGATCCAGGTCTTTCAGATTCTGCAAACCTCTGCTTTGGAGGAAGAGAAGAGCAGAGAAGATGAGAGGGAGAGAGACAGAGAGAGAGACAGAGAGACAGACAGAGGAGAGACCCTGTGTTTTCATGTATTTGCTCATGTATTAGGAGGCAGAACCCCCAAAAGCATCAGACAGCTGGTCAGTTTCCTGCATTTCTGCTGATCTTGTAGTACCTTGTGGCCAAGTCTACACAAATATCATTTGTTTCCTAAAATTCGCAGGTAGTTTCATGAAGTCTTCATTTTGTCTGGTTCTGGTTCCTGCTTTTTAGGATCCCCCAACCTTTTGTCCAACAGTAAATTCCATTTTGATATATTTTGCTGGCAAAATGAAGGATTAAATCCTCCAGAGATTCTAGTGGGTGGAAGTGTCTTGGCTAACCTTGGCTGAATTCCTGTGTCCACATGTAAATTGGAGCAGGATCTCTGTATGTTCAGGGTTTGGAGAAAACATTTTCATTTTTAGCTTGGCTGTAGTTTAAACTCTAAAGATCAGCATGAATTTCTGAAAATGTCTTTGAGTGATGACCTGGGTGCAAATAAATGGTGGAGTAATACATTTGTTAACCTGATCATAGGTTGTGACGATTCTCTGCTTATTGCAATTTTCTAACAGTTTGCTTGTGGTTCTAAGGGAAGTTGTTAGCAGGTGTGGCTGGTTTGTCCCCTGTGAAGCAGACTCTGAGCTGGAGATTAGCATGCAGATATTTATTAGGGAGTCCTTGTGGAGCAAAACCTGTGAGAGGGAGGGAACAGAAGCAGGATTGGGCAGAAGGAGAAGCCAGGTTGTGATAGTTTCAATAATAGGCCTTAACCAACCCGACCGGAAGCTCAGAAGCTGATAGGGGTGTTTGGAGTTGTCCTGAGTTGGGTGTGAGGGTCTTTATACCCTTGGGTGGGCCAGGCACTGGGGGCCCAGGGAAGGGCACCTGGCCGTGGGTACAGCAACATCCTGAGACAAGGCAATGCCTGGAAGGGTCTGACAGCTTTGGTCTGTGTGCTGGCAGCTGGAGGAATAAGTCTTTCAGTCCTGGAGGGACTCTGGGCTCACACAGCAGAGTCCACTACCAGGACAATGCTGGTGGGCATCTTAGCTGGGACCCAGAGGTAGTGGGCCCGTAAGCTCTAACCATACCTTAAAGATCCTACCTAGACACCTCACTAGTGACTCCAGGCAAGTTATGACAATGCCTGGATCATAGCATTCCAAAGCTTTTTTTAAAAATTCATATCATTTTTTATCTGTCTTTGCTTAACATAGTCCTGGATTTTATTTCATCTCTCTGATCACTCAGTATTCAGATTCTCCCAGATGTTCCTCAACCCTCATTCCTAAACCTAAGTGACCCACTCTCCTGGGCTCCCTCCAAAGCCCCATAGCATTTACTGTACTGTGGTGCGTGCTTGCATGCTTGGTGTGAGAGTCAGTCCTATTCTGTTTTGTTGCTCTATGTCTTAGCACACACTTCTAGGCACATAGCAGGCTCTCAGTAAATGTTCACTGAATGAATGAGTAGCCATGGTACCTTCTACTATTTTTCCTTGTCTTGAAAGACCCTATCCTTGATTCTTAAATAATTTTGATCTCTTATGCTAAGAAGCTGAGATCTTCTGTATTCAACTACCAGGCAGAAAGTTCAGTTTACATAAATATAAGTTGTATGCAGCTGCAAGTCTGGGTCTCAAAACTATTTTATATACCTTGATGTGGCTCTGGTGTAATAATTGGGATTGACATTTGAAATTAATTATTTCTCTATGTCTGTGCTAATTTGTATGAAAGATGAGTTATTTAAAATACACATTCAGAGCATGTAAGCTTTGAGAACAAAGTGGAAGAGTTGGAAATTTCCAGTGCTGAGAATGAATTATTATTAATACTGTTAATACTTATTAAAGAGAGAAGAGGAGAAATGTTCTGGCTCAACTGTTTCTGTGATTACCTTGAATTTAAACCTAGACAAATGTCTCCCTAGTAGAGAGTAATCTGAGTTGAATGAAGGGTGACCCACAGGCGTGCATCTTCTCACCAGGGGATCAGGAGTAGACAGTAAATGATGTGTCAGTCAGCAAGCATGGCAAGGGAATGCTGGGGACAACCTGGAGTTAGAGTCTGCGGAGTGAAGTAAACAGGAGGGTTGTTGATCTGGAGACACTGTGCTCTCCAGATGTCTTGTAAACCGCATATGTACTTTTTGTATTTGGAAAAAAATATTATTGTGGACAACAAAGAGCATAACTCAAAATTTGGAATTTTGGTTCTCTTTGGGGATTTAAGATACAAATTCATGGTACAGCTTATCTCATCTATTTCTTTGTCTCAGTGTTTCTCAAACTTACTTTTCACAAACTGTAAAGGTTCATGAGTCTGATTGTTATTGGGAGTGGTTCTTAGTAGGGCAGAATATAAACTCATGGTTTATAACAATAAGAGAAAAAAATGTAAGAATAATAAACTTGTCATGGCAGAAAGTAAAGAAGAAATGCTGATTTTAGAGGACTGGTCAAGTGCGATTTTCTGCCCTAGAGTGCACCCAGGCAGGGGGTAGCGGCTATGGTCTCTTCCAATCATATCTACTGAATTAACTGAGCCAGAATCCACTATTGAAAGGCTTATCTATGGGACAGAGACTGGCTTGTTGTCCATCAAATTCATTTCCTCCACTTGGGCAGTCACATGAAGTGTATTTTCCTGACTCGCTGGCAATTATGTGTCATCAAATGTCTCAGTTCTAGCCTCCCACATCCTCTCCTCCCTACCTTTTCCCCATCTGCTAGCCAAATGTAAAGGACTTTGAAGTCCTAGAAAAAGATAAGCCAATTTTTGGAAAGAATCTGGGACCCAAAATGACCACATAGAAGGTTTGCCTTTGGCTAGGCACATACATTTTGGGTGTTATGTGAGCAAATAAAAAATGCTATTTTCTAAGCTGATGAGAATTTGGAATTCATCTGTTACAGCAGCTGGCATTAATCCAATAAATACAAACATGCCACTTGCATCTTATAAGGCCATTCCAACCACAAGAAAGTCTCAGAAACAATGTAGTTTGTTTGGACACATTTCAAGTTGGAATACAACTGGAGTTGTACTGGTAAGAAGGAAGGGAAAAATGGGATATTTGGTGGTAACAGTTTCTGCCATAGTATGTAATAGTTCAGACAGCACAGAGCGATGGGGGGAAAATGAGGACTGAGAAAAGAGAATTGAATTTGGTGACTAGGAAGTTACTGATGACCTTTAAAGCCCAGAGTAGATTGATTATCAGATTGCAGAAGATAAAAGAGTACATGGGACATGAATAACTGGAACCAGCGATTAGTTTTGGCTGTGAAAGGAAAGAAAGATATTAAAATCTTGAGAGGGCAGAAGGGCAAAACATAGTCTTTTGCAAACTGGGGGAAGATTATTATTATTTTGAGAGCTGACCAAGAAAAACCAGTAGAAAAGGAGAGAGTAAAAATGCTGGAGAAATAGGAGATAATTGAGATAGGAAGACTCAAATAATAGAATGGGACATAGTAGTGAAGAAGAGAAGAGCCATAGAAAGAAAAAAAAACATCTTATCCATGACTGGAGTTAAAAGAAGATGGGGTAC